TGTATATAATTTCCCTCTAGCCAGACCTCATATATTATTATAATTATTATATAGTAATTGTCCCCGCATTTGATACGGCTGCCTTTCCCATCACAGGATTTTACTGTTTTGCCTGCAAAATATACAGTCCATTCACTTGACGGTATATCCTGGGAAGCGCTTTGAGACGTCTCGAAGACGTGATAAGGAGCTATATCAAATGCAAGGATTTTTTTTTATATTACAGGATTTTACTGTATACTGGAGTGACTGTGTATTTGTGGGTGAATGTATTCTGCATGGCACCATTATTAACAATAATAGTAATAATAATCCTTGCATTTGATATAGCGCCCTATCACGTCTTCGAGACGCCTCAAAACGCTTCACAGAATATACTGTAAAGTGGATCCATTGTGTATTTTGTGGGCGAAACGTTCTGGATGTGATACACGTTGGACCCCAACTTCGAAGGGTCACTTGCTCTCGCTGCCACTCAGTGCTCACAGACACACGGTGACACAGTGAGTTGGCTTCTACGCCAACGGGAAGAAGAGAAAATCTGTTCATTCCTAAAGCGCTGGGCTAAGGTTACTCACACTCAGTGCTTAAAAAATCTGGACAACAATAATAATAATCCTCACATTTCACACAACACGTATAGCGTCAAAGCGTTTTACAGTCAAGAGTATTTTGTAGGCAAAGACGGCAGCCAATTAGTGCATATTGATCTCTCACAAAAAGCCACAAAGTTAATCAAAGCGATCAGTTTTATCTGTTGTCCAGGACACTGGGTGAAACTGCCCTCCCTTTATTGAATTGAGCCGTGGGATTTTTAACACCCCACTGAACACACGGCTGGCATCTCAGTTTAACATCCAAAGGGCAGCACCTCTGACAATGCAGCCCTCGTCCAGACCTTGAGAGAAGTAATGCTGATTCCTAAATTTTAGACCGTGGGTTAATTTTGTTTCCAAAGAGGGTTGAAATCCAAGCTCTCACTGGCCAAAGGATTAGCGATTACAAATTGGACGGGCTAACTCTAACCCTGACCGTAACCCAAAGCAGAGGAGTAAGACAAGCAGATGTATAATAATCATTGCATTTGACATAGCGCCTTGTCACGTCTTTGCGACGTCTCAAAGCGCTTCACAGAATACACTGTAAAGTGAATTGACTGTATATTTGTATATATCTGGATCCTCTCGCTCGTGAGGTGAGTGCTCTAACCACTGAGTCATCATTCACAGAGACTATATCTAGGCCTTGCCTGGGATTCACTGTTAGAATAATCCTCGCAACAACAACAATAAATTGCATGTGTAGAGAAACCTTTCACGTCAGAAGGACGTCCCAAAGCGTCTAACAGACAAGGATGTGCACCCCAGCTGGGGGGGGGTGTGGGATCAGGAGGTGTGGAGCATCGGGAGGGTAGGGGTAGGACAGTGACTGAAGTCGCTGGAGGAAGTTCTTCACAGGATATATTGTAAAGTGGTGCGACTGCGTCTATTTTGTAGGCAATTTTTCCATCAAAATGAAAGTGGAACGGGAATGAAAAGGAACGCTACAAATTGAATTTTCCATTCAATTCAATTGCGGTCTTACCCAAACCTCAACGCACGATGATTAAACACCATCAATTATGGTTTGAATAAACAGCAAAATTGCGTTTTTTTTAAACCAATACGTAATTGGTTTGTACAGCCAACTTGTTCCATTGACTGCAGCCCATTATAATTCCAGTAGTTCTGGATTTGTTATGTTTATTTGCTGACTCCTATTTAAATTTATCTTTGCAAAGAAAATAGCTATAAACCTCTGAATCTCCCTGTATTTTAAACGTAAACCGTGCCCTTCCCTATCCAGCAGTCAACACAGCGTCAACTAGTCCTATTAGTTGTTCTAACTAACTCAGTCAATTGATTACAAGTTAAAATACTGTTGGGTTAAAAAAGCATGTTGTCTCCCGTTAACGGGATGGATCAGCACACGGCAATAAGAATAATAATACTGTAGTAATAATCCTTGCATGAGGCGTCTCAAAGCGCTTCACACAGAATATAAGAATTTAGAATTTTCCACAATTCTGTGTGACATTAAATAATAATTCATGAATAAGAAGAATTATTCATTCATGATAATAATAATCTGGTCACCCAATCCACGACTGTTTGTGGGACACTGCTGTGTACAATTGGCTGCAGCGTTTCGCCCGCAAAATATACAGTATATCCTGAGAAGCGCTTTGAGCCGTGATAAGACTCTATATCAAATGCAAGGATTATTATTATATAGTGTAAAGGGAATTGACTGTATGTTGAAATCACATGAGTTTTATCTGATCCGGTTTAACAGTGCCAATGGCAACCAAGTGGGTTTCGGAGCACACAGAAACACTGCACAGCTATAATGCCATGTGTTTTACAGAATAATGCGCAGCTCAGAACAAGAATTGCTATCGTACTCATCCAACAACAACAATAGCAAAATTACATTTATAGAGCACTTTTCACGTCGGGAGGACGTCCCTCGCGAAAAAGCTGTAAAAGGGGGAGTGGGCTGGAGTTAAATAAATAATAATAATTATAATAATAATAAGTCTTGCATTTGATAAAGAGATCAAATAAGATGAAATAAACAGCTTCTACCTCCAAACCACTCTTGTGATCTTGTGAAATCAGTAATTCGATTGGCGGATCGCTTTCCGGGGGTAATAATAAATCCCTCCAAAAAAATAATAATTGGTCACACTCAATCCACGACTGTTTGTAGGACACTGCGGTGTGCAATTGGCTGCCGCGGTTCGCCCACAAAAACATGCAGTCAATCCACTCTACAATGTCTTCTGTGAAGCACTTTGAGATGTCTCAACAGGGTGACAAGGAGCTTCATCAAATGCAAGGATTATTACTGTTATTATTGTTAAAATAGGGCGCTGAGGGTGGAGATGGAAACTGATAACACTGTGCCAATTGATTGATTGTTGATTGAATGGGACAGGTGGATGATAAGATAATGGTAACAGACAATTTAACTGCAAAGGTATCCTGATAGCTGTGCCTTATTGATCAGTTCGGTATCAGACACATGAGTCTACACTTGAACTGTCAAACACAGTTTCAGCAACTATTGATTTTTCTATTTGGCGTAATGCAGGTTACTCTACTCAAGAGCAGTTCTTGTTGAAGAGTGAGACACTCGCAGGTAGCAGTTGTATCTCCCCCCCTCCCCCAACCCATTTATTTAATAGGTCCAATTTGTTTAGGTATAAATGCTGCAGTGATTTTCCAACAAACCTTTCAGCATCTAATGGGTCTTCAGTGAAAGCGAAGCATCTTACACGGGAAACAAGCTCCGAACAGCAGAAATGGACTTCAGCAAGAAAGTGCTCACAGAATATCATGTTGTATCACAGAATATGTTTCTCTACAACATTCTCAATGATATCAATGACAAACTACGTGGTTTTAGCTGCTTAGACTCCAGCAGTTACCCCAACGCACACTCTGGGATCTCCCCAAGCCTTGGCTCTTGCCAACCTGTGCCTCATACTTTCCAGAATTAGGCAAGCAGGATGCATCCATAGAGAGAGAGAGAGAGAGTGAGAGAGAAAGAGAGAGAGCGCGCGTTTCATTCCAACAATCTATCCCTGTGATTTCCATGTGTTCGTGGCACGCATGCAATTCTCAGCTCGGTTCGGATACTCTTAAGCACGGTGATGGGTTTCCATCACCATGTGTCAGACACCCGACTGACACACCCCACCCCCCCCACCCCCCGAAACTCAAAAAAATCACCATTTGGATTCCGCCCATTGAACTCCGATATCCAAGGATTTGTGCATTTCCTTACAAACAATTTCAGATAGGAGCAGATCACAGGTCCACCCTTCCATCCAATTTCCTACTAGATTCCTTCAGCATATCTATCTCTAGTGAAGCAATTCATAATAATAATAATAATAATAATCCTTGCATTTGATATAGCGCTTTTCACGTCGGGAGGACATCCCAAAGCGCTTCACAGAACACACTGTAAAGTGAATTGACTTTTTGTGGGCGAACGCGGCAGCCAATTGCGCACAGCAATGTCCCACAAACAGTCGTAGATTGAAAATGACCAATTTATTATTGTTTTTGGAGGGATTATTATTAGGCTCTGTGTGGAGTAAGGAAACTTGCCCAAGGTTTCGCCTGGAATTAAACTCGGGTCTCTCGCTTGCAAAGCGAGTGCTCTAACCACTGAGCTACAGGACTCCACAAAGGTAGTGCTTTAAAACCACTCTGGTTGCACCACGCACCAATTTCTCAGACTGTGGGTGGGCTAAGGGTTCATTCTATTCATACAGACCAGCAATACAAGTTATACATTCCTGATCTTCTAGATTGCTAATGTCTGGAGGCCAGAATAAACCCAGATGGTACTTTCAAACAACTGCATGTGAATGCAACCCAAAGTGGAAACAGGGTGAATTCCACAGCATTGTAGCCCAGAGTTAATTTTAGCTGTGGCACTTCTGCAATATAAATACTCCATTGAAATGGTCATACTAGGGCTCATCAAATTGATTTAAACTAAACCCTGAGTAGAGATAGATGGTGTTTGGGGAGATCGTTAGAGAGATAGTACAGAGTATTGGGGTTAATGAGTCAAAGAGTCACAGTGTGGGGGAGGTGGGGGGTGTGAAGAACATAGGGCACGAAATCCCACTCTTTCCAACACACTCGCCGATGGGCTCCACCCACCACTTGATCTCCTGGGGAAACATCTACAGAAGATAATCCCTGAGATCGCTCACAGGAGCCATCAAGTGAAACCCTCAAATATCTACCCATTCACATCTACAACAATGTCAACAAATCACCATTGTACAGTGCCTTTCTTTCACGTCGGGAGGACGTCCCAAGGTGCTGGACAGTCAAAGCTAAGACTACGAGGGATTTCAGACCTCAGATAATCAGCCATTTCCATTTTCACAGTCGAGGAAAGAAAACAATTTCACATCGAGCGCTGTTCATTACCTTTGTCGATGAGAATTCGAGGCACTTCCTTCTCCGCAGGTGAATTGCACTTGATCACGTTCCCAAGCACCTGCCCATTCATCTCGGCAAAGTCTTCGAAGGTGCAGTTCACTCCCGCCGAGAGCTCAGGGACATTGTGAGCTTCGAGCTCCAGCTGAGGGAGCAAGCGAGAGAAAAATAAACACAAGTCGCCTTTTGTTTCTCTTTCAAACGAGCTACGTCCCATTCGACACTGACAGGTGTACCTCAGCACCGTTGCGTTTAAAATCTGCAAAGCGATGCGTGGAGCAACAACTTAACATTGATACGGCGTCTTTCACAGCTCGCCACTGAGCCGGAAAAGGAGGAGAGGTGACCCGAAGGCATAATAGAAGCGGAAAGCCTTGAGGTGTGAGTTGAAGACGGGCAAAGAGGGGGTGAGACATAGGGATTGAGACAAGGAGCTCCAGAGATTGGGTCACAGTGGCTGAAAGCACAGACGCCAGTGGTGGAGCGGAAGGGACAAAGGATGTGTAGAAAACTCGATCCAGCTGAGCAAAGGCTGTGGGTAGAGGAATGAGGTGCGAGCAGATCGGAGAGATTGTGGGGTGCCAGGGCGATGAAGAGATTGGAAAGTAAACTTTCAAGTTGGGAGGAGGTCACAAAGTGCTTCAAAGGATTTACTGTGAAGTGGCGTGCCTGTGTGGCCTTCAGCCTTCAGCCACTCTGCCTCCAACCTCTGGAATCCCATCCCCCAATCACTCCGCCTCGCCCCCTCCTCAGCCTCCTTCAAGTCCCGCCTCAAGTCCCTTCTCTTCGACCATGCCATCGGCCGCCCCCCCCCTTCCCCTCCCTTCTCCCTTCCACCCCCCCTGACCCCACCTCGGGTCTGAAATGCTGTGCACTGACCAGCGCCTTGGGACGTCCTCCCGACGTGAAAGGCCCTATAGAAATGTAAGCTTGTTGTTGTTTTTGTTGTTGTGTATTGAGGTGAGCTTCTGGAAGGATTTTTATTATATTATTATTACTATTATTATCATAAAATCCAACAAAGGAAAGTATTTGGGCCGATGAACACGCCGTGGAGTGGTTCCGTTCTGTGGACAATTCTAGTGAAGTATCTGGTTAAGACAATAAAATTATAATAATAATCCTTTCATTTGTACAGCGCCTTATCGCGTCGTTGAGAACTGACTGAATATTTTGTGGGCGAAATTCTGCTGCCAATTGCACAGAGCAGTGTCCCACAGACACAGTCGTGGATTGAGCAAACACATGTTTTCTTCGGTCCTCTGAAGAAAACAAAGAGATGAGAAAAATGATAAACATCACAATCGGGGGGGGGGAAAGAGGAAGAATTTGAATATCAAGTCTTGCTCAAGTTCCTGGCAGAGTTGTAACCTCAGCTACTTCCGACCTCCGCAGAATTAACACTTTCTTGTTTTTCATTGCTTTCTGAAAAGAAAATTAGCATTTGACGTAGCCAATGGTTGTGTCTCCGGCCCAGACGCTGTCCAGCATAACAACAACTTGCATTTATAATGTGTAATTATTTATCATTCAGTTATTGTATATATTATTATTATTATCATTTCTTTATAATTTAGCTATTATTATATATTTAGATATTATTATAATTTACTTATAATTTATAACCGCCCTCCACCCTCCCCGACCCTGACCACCAGCTCGTGACGCCTTGGGAACGTGAAAAGCGCTATTAAAAAGTAATTTTGTTGTTGTTATAGAGTGTCTTCTAAGCTCTCAATAGCGCCAATTTACCCCCAGACCAGTGCCCCTTTGATTTCTGATCCCTATCAATTTGTGACCTCCACAGCCTTGAAGAACTGAAGCCCCATTTCGGGACCTTGAACTCAGGTGGTCTAGAATAACGCTCCAGCACGGTACAGGCAGAATTGTCAGTGGTGCCCGCATCTCTCTCCCGGTGTCCTGACCAACAATCCCATCACACCCGTGAGCAGAATCGTTCACTCGCTTCAAGACTGTTTGCGGGACATTGCTGTGCGCAAATTGGCTGATCGCTCCCTGATTGGCCTAATCCCGGAAAGTATTAGGTACTTTTGGCAGAACCCAAAGCTTGATTAACGAGTGCGTGGGGAGATTTTTGGCGTTTAACCAGCTAAGACACTGTCTGGTCCAGGTTAGACCACCTCACCTCACTGGAGTTGTGGCTGGCGGGGTTACTAAGGAGCTGAGTGTCGGAAAATAATCCCTGTTCTGCCCTGTCGAGTCCTGCCGATCAGTCGTGCCCTGAAATACTGCGGACTCCGCCTGGCACAGGAACCGGATTACCGAGACCGGCACAGAGATTTTGTTACGATAGTCCGTGCAATAATAACGCAGGAGGAGTGAGCTGTGTGTTTGCGCCCCTGGTTGTAAATGCAAACGGCTACAAACGGAGGGGGGCCCGATGCCAAGCCTTCGAGCCGGCCAGGCTGACATTAATTTATTGTTTATAAATACAGAAGCTGTCATTTTTCGACAGCAAGTGGGATTCGGCAAGGTGTGAATTCGGAACCTCGGGTTCAAAATAAAGCACTGACCCCTTTCTTCCATCTCTCACTGAAATTGTGGGCGGGTAGGATATCAGGTCCCGAGGGTTACCGGGCACAAAAATGGAGCTAGCCCTCTCTGCTCTTCCCAAGACAAGGATGTAATAATAATAATAATAATAATCCTTGCATTTGTTATAGCGCTTTTCACGTCGGGAGGACGTCCCAAAGCGCTTCACAGAACACACTGTAAAGTGAATTGACTGTATATTTGTGGGCGAACGCGGCAGCCAATTGCGCACAGCAATGTCCCACAAACAGTCATATGGATTGAAAATGACCAATTTATTATTGTTTTGGGTTTTGGAGGATTATTATTAGGCTCTGTGTGGAGTAAGGAAACTTGCCCAAGGTTTCGCCCTCTGCCTGGGATTGAACTCAGGTCTCTCACTTGCAAAGCGAGTGCTCTAACCACTGAGCTACAGGACTAATGAGCCACCTGACCAGCACCTCTTATAGGAGAACGCAAGGTCACTAGAAATGATGGGGATACGGGTATTGATTCAATTGGAACAGAATGGAAAAGAAATAGTAATGACGATAATGCTAATAATAACGCATCAGCCAATTTGCACCGCGACGTCCCACAAACAGCCACGGTAGTATCAAAGGAATCCAGGCCAGCGACGCTGAATATCAGCTGTTACTGCGAAGCTATTTGAATATGCGGAGTGTTAAGGACTGCGGCACAGGAATAATTGGTTTGCTTTTGAGGAGTGTGAATTGGTACTTACTGCAGACAGACCAGTTATCTCTGCATACCAGCTATATTACAGGGCTTTCAATTCAACTAACACACATATAATACCACCTATTGTACTGGTCGATGCAAAATCAGTTGGTGGGGGTGGGGTGGTCACCCAGGCCTAAGTGCCAGTGCAGAGGAGAGCAATAAGGATGATCCCTAAAGCTACAGGCATGGATTTTGAGGAACGACTAGATACGTTACGGATCTTAAAGTCACTACACTTTAGAGTTTATTCTGTGAAGCGCTTTGAGACGTCTCAACAAAGTGATAAGGCGCCATATGAAATGCAAGGATGATCTTTATCATTATTATTACCTTCAGGCTTCATAAAGAGACATCTCGGAGGGATATATAAATGGGATCGAGAAAGTAATAATAATAATTCATGTATTTAACATTCCACGATGGGAGGACAACTCAAAGGGCAGTGACTGTATGCATTTGTAGGAAAACGAGGCAGCCAATTTGCACACAACAATGTCCCACAAACAGCCATGGAGTGCGTGACCAATTTTAGTTGGGGGACTGTTTGACCTGGACGTCGAAAGAAACTCCCTTCTCTTTTCAAATAATGCCATGGGGATCTTAAACGTCCACCTGAACAGGCAGACGGAACCATGGTTCAATGTCTCATCTGAAGAACCCTATATGAGTTCAAAGTCCCTGGCCTTGGGTTGAACTCGCAACTTTCTGACTCAAGAAGCAAGAGTGCTGCCAACTGAGCCAGGCTGACACATACATGATGTATTCAGATTGTTCACTGGAGCGAATCATTAGGAGAAATTGGGCAGTTAGGAGGGAAGGATCTATTTTTACTCAGATGATGGTTGCTGCGAACAGTATAAATGAGGTAACTAGACACATGTCTGGGGTGGTGGGTGGGAGGCAGGAGGTGGAATTGAGGAATGTGGTGAGAAAATGGCAGGTTACACTGAGAAAGGGACTCGTTTGCCGGGAACTAATCAGTGACTGGAAGGCATCGATTTAAGATAGTTAGCAAACGAGCAAACGGGAGGGTTAGGAGAATTTTTTTTGCACGTACAGAGTGGTTAGGGAATGGAAGAAATACTCTGCTGGTAGCAGTGGTTGAGGCAGAATTCATATCAACCAACACCAACTCGCGTTTATATTTCTCTTTCAAAAAGGGAACTAGTTAATACCTAAAAAGGGAATGAATTACAGGCGTAAAGGGAAAGGATAGGTAAATGGGAATCTGGAAGGATAGCTCCTTAAAAGAGTCAGCACGGACGTGATGGGCCCAAATGACTTCCTTCCGTGCTGTGAACTTCTATGATTCCCAGGACCGCTCTTGACCAGGACGCTCGGGTCTCGCTGCTGGTGGTTTTCTCTCGGTTGATCTCGTCTACTTACCAGGACGTTGTACTGGGAGACGGAGATATTGCTCGGGTGCACGCTGAGTCGGACGCACTGCTTGATGTCGGAGGCAAAGCGACGGAGCTCGGTGGAGCGTTTGCATTCATCTTTCCTGGTGCAGCTGAAACCGAAGAGAGGCAAACGTCAAGAGGAGATCACCAGAGAGGTGCAGGCACGCGAGGTCTCCAGCCCATTGAATCCCACTCTTCCAAATACTTCTTTAGTGAGTCCAAAGTCCTGGTCAGCCTCTCAACCCACCTTACTCTCTGGTAATCCATTCCAGCGACTGACCCCCCCCCCTCTCTGTGCAAAGCAACGCTTCCTGGAGTCTAACGCTAAAGGAGCCATTCACAACCGTAGACCTGACGTAAGGGCAGGAGAATAACCTAACTGTGGAATGTTCTGAGATTCCTTCTCGGAACTAAATATATTCTGCCGAACAACAACAACTTGCACGTATGTAGCGCCCTTCGTGTCGAGGAGCGCTTAACAGTGGCGGAGCCTGATGCCGAGCCGGGGGAGAGGAAGGAGGTAACCATAAGCACGGTTGAAGAGGAAGGTCTTCAGTCAGGATCTAAAAGAGGGGAAGGAGGATTAAAAGAGGGGAACCAGAGGTTGGTTTGGGCATGCAAACGGTCTCAATCCCCGTACGTTTGCTTATGACATTCGTCTGCAAACAAAATACACAGTCACTACACTTTACAGTATATTCTTGTGAAAGATAGGATGGGGGCCAGGCTGTGAAGGGATTTGAACGGGATAGTTAGAAAAGCCAATGAACCAGGCACTGGAACGTGTCCAGGACGTGCCGAGATAGGAGGAGAGACGGGGAGGAAACAGGAGGAGAAGCAAAGCACTGCGGTTAGACGGGCGGATGCACCATTGAACGAGGCAACCGCAGATTTTACCGTATAAATGTTTCAGGGCCTTTTAACAGCAAAGGTATTAAAAATCAATGCGAAAGCAGTGTAGCGCACAGCAATGTTAAGGGTAATCGATGTGGTGTTATTTTAAGTGAATCGTCTTCTGCCCCGTCCAGCGACAGTAAAAAAAACACGCAGGACTATAACGGTGGGTTGGCGCGGAGCCATAGCGAGGGTGTCACGACGATTACAGAACACAGAGAGCGAGCAACTGCGGGCTATAGTTGTAATGGCACAGGGAGTGTGTCACTGTGTACGACAGTGTGTTGGAGTACAGAGAGCTGAGTATTAGAGGGACAGGTAAATTGGCTGTTGCGTTCGCCAAAAGAAATGGCGTCACTAAATGCTGCGAAAGCACTTCGAGTTGCTCTCCCAGACGTGAAAGGCTACATCGCTATATGAAATGTAAGTATTCTACACAACATACACTCCCACACTGTGGAACGCACTTGACTATCTCACTGTCAGCTCCCTGCCTTGTTACTGATAACCTTTTCACTGCGCTCACAGCATCAACGTATCTCAAAGTGCTTCACAGGTAACTCCTGTCGAATGGAAGGGTGTCTGTGCACTTGACAAGATTTTACTGTGAAGCGTAGTGACTGTGGATTTGCCAAACGCAGCACTTAAGTTACGTGCAGAAGGTCTTGCAAACAGCCATGAAGTGAATGACCAATTTGATTCGGGGGATTGTTGGCCAGTACATTGGGATCTTTAATGCCCACCCAAAGAATGGCACCCCCGATAACACAGCGCTCCCCCATTGATAACGCAGCCTTGACCATTGGTTGAGCTCAATGTGGGGCATGAACCCACAATCTTCTGACTCAGAGGCGAGAGTCCTACCAACTGAGCCACGCCTGACACTTCCTGTAACAGAGGTATGCATCACGTGGAAGACCTTTGCACAAGTGACTGCAGAAGCGTTAAATGCCACAATGGCATTTAAAAGGGGAACTGAATAAAACTAGCATTAAAAGCAATAGCTGAAGAGCAGTTGGAATGGGATTAGCTTCAGTGGAGGCGATAGAAGAGGCACAGAAACAAGAGGCCAGAATGACCTCATCCTGTGCTGTAAATGTTTCTAGAATTCAGTCGAGGAAAAGCACCAAATGGCCACCTCATCTGCTCCTTTTAAATTATCCCGATCCTGAGAGGGTGGTGGGGAATAAAATTGATTATAAATAATTTGGAACCTGCCTCAACCTCCGTTTCCAAGCAGCGGCAGGCATCAAAACGAATTAGGGACGTGCAAATTTCAAACCAGCCCTTGTCGGAGGTCACAGCACGTCTGTTCAGTGCGGGAAACTCGGGGTGAAAGAATGCGACTTGTGACGTGGTAATTATCACACGGGCAAAAAAGAATAAATAATGCGACCGGGTGGAATTAGGCCATTCTTACCCACTCATATGTTTAAACCCACTGTTTTTAGCTACCACGAGTGATTGGCAAGACAGCACTTAAGTGACATGTCTCTGTATAATATTGTACGTTCCCTCCTCCCTTAAATACTGCCACAGAGACCACAGCAGTTGTTGGCGGTTCACACACTCAGGGGCAGGGCTGGGTTATAATGTTATAGCATCCCAAACACCAGGCTCCTCAGCGTCACACACTTTTGTTCTCAGAGCCAAATTTCCCAGTGAGCGGGTTATTCATATCACTGTAGCATCCGTACCAACGCCAAGCTATTGCAGGTTCGGCTGGTTAGCCTCCAGCAATTACCCCAACGCACACTCTGGGATTCCCCCAAGCCTTGGCTCTCGCCAACCTGCGCCTCATACTTTCCGGAATTAGGTAAACAGGAGGCGTCCCTCCAGGGAGAAAGAGAGAGACGCAGAGAGAGAGAGGGAGAGAGAGAGAGAGAGAGAGAGAGCGCGTTTCATTCCGACACTCTATCTCTGGGATTTCCATGTGTAGGTGGGACGCATGGAATTCTCAGCTCGGTTTGGATACCCTTAAAGCACGGTGATGGGTTTCCGCGGGTGTCAAGACTGACCCCCTACCCCCCCCACCCCACCCCGCCCCAAAAAATCATATCATTGTAACGAAAGCTCATGATGTTGACGGGTCCGGTCCTGACTGACAGATACATTCCCGCTCATGACGCCAACATGACTCTCGCTGCCAGTGAATGGTGTCCACCTTTCAAAGTCTGTGTGAGGAACATGCCTCTGCCCTTTATAACTGTCCTCGGTGGGATGTGACCTTTTTTTTATTTAAAAAAGCCGTCGTTTTTTAACGTTAGTCGTTGGCAGTTCAGCCTTTTAATGTCCCGAGGACCAGGTTTCTGCCGGGTGCAAATGTCCCGCGAGCCTTTTTATTCATGTCAACGTGTGTCCGTTCCAAGCACAGGGAAATTTCCATGTGGAAGGTGACACACATTTGATGGGAGGAAACGGTAAGAACATAAGAACTTGCTCGGCGAAAGAACACCAAGGTCCATTCAGTTGGCCTTCCACCATCTTTGCAGTCGCTTGCACATGTCATGTCCCAAACTACAGACTGTATCCCCAGATATTATTTCCTAACAGAAATCTATCTAATTTGTATTAGATTTTATTAATGAAATAATTAATTTGTATTAATTTGCACCTTGGTACGTCCTCCCTACCTGAAGGACGGTATACAAATGTAATGTGTTGTTGTTGCTGTCGATAGGGGGCGTGGGCTTTCTGGAGGAACGAGATCAGATGGGCTGAAGGGCCTTCTTCATCTAGATCAATCTTGTGATCCTATGACAGGTGGAACGCTCAGGGAACATGATGGGTTTCCGTATGTATCAGCCCCTGGCTGACCCAATAAAGAAAAATTACAGGCTCTGGCTTTCAAGAAGGATTTCCAGTCAATAAAAAGATCTCCCAGCACAGTGAATCCCCTTGAAGAATCAGACCCTGTCTTTTTTTATGTATACGATTGAAACGCTCCAAGTCTCGGTTCGACTGAGCAAAAAACCTTTAATGTGAAGCCATCAGTGGGAAGCTGTTGCTAGCAAGTTCACCGCAGCTGTCCTGCTCCCACCCCCAACACCCCCCCCCACCCACCACACCGCAAATCCACAGGAATTATTCGTTTGATTCTGTCTGGGTTTTATTTTCCCTTTGAGTCGAGTCTTGATTTCCCCTCTCCGTCCCAGCCTCCCCGATGCAAAATATAGCAAAGCTCCCGTGTCCCCTTTTCCCCTGTGTAAGATGAACAAGGCAGCGTGGTTCTGTTTACATTAACTTGTTCACGATCTGCCCCACGTGTAATTAACGCGTTTCCTCCTGTCAGCGAGAGCCTGATGCTGGAAAAATGCACCCATTACGGGCATCAGCCTGGCTCAGAAGGGTAGCTTCCGAGTTAGAAGCTTGTGAGCTCAAGCCTCACGCACAGACTTTGAACTTGCACACTAGGTTGAAAGCTCCAATCATAATAATTATCATTATAATGACAATAATCCTTGCGTTGAAATAGCGGCTTATCACTTTGTGGAGACAACTCACGGTCCTGAGCAAAGGACAAGGGTGAGGGAGAGGTGATCATCGGCATGGCTGGTAAGAAGTAAGTCACCACAAACAACAACAGCAGCAGCAGCAACAAATCACATCCGTGTCACGCCTTGCGTGTCGGGAGGACGACTTAAAGCGCTGGATAATAATAATCATCCTTGCGTTTAATACAGCCGCTTATCGTGTCGTTAAGGTATCTCAAAGCGCTTCATGGAATATATCGTAAAGTGAATTGACTGTGTCTTTTGTGGGCGAAACTTGGCAGACAATTGCACGTCACGGTGTCCCACGAGCAGCCGTGGATTAAGTGACCAAATTATGTATCTATATATTTATGTATATTTTTCAAAGGGATCATTACCCTCAGAAAGCGATCCGAGGTGTTATAGTAGAGTGGAGTGAGGAAATCTAACGTTTCGCCCGTTCGGGAAACGCACCCGGGTCCTCTCGCTTGCGATGCGAGCGCTCTAACCACTACGACTATGCTAAAGGACTCCACAAAAATCCTTGCGCACCCCCCCCCCACACACCCACCACTCCCCCCACCATCCCCCAGCCCCGAATGAGAATTTGCTGCAGCCAACTGTGGGAGGTGGAGTATTAAAATATTATTTACCGCAAAGCTTTCTGTAACCACATATTCTAAATGAGATTTTGTTCAGTAATTGCATTCCACAAATCCTTTCTATCCACCGACTTGACCCCT